ATATAAAAAACCAGATTGCTATCTTTATATGATATGAATACTGAATGAACTTAATTTATTCAAAAATTAAATCAGTTTCTCTCTGTTGTTAGGACTTTGCTGTCGAGATCATTAAATCCACCCACGAGCACTGGAAGGCACTTGTACAGAAGCAAAAACACTCTGGAGGGATAGAGTGGTAAAAGAAAGCTAAAAACACTGGTTGCATGTTTTTTTTTAATTTTTTTTTTTTAAATTTGATAAACAGAAGACCACACTGCTGACAGCTTTCTTTGTCATTCAGCAAGAACCTGTCCTGCTGTGGCAGCCCTTTCAAATGCGATGATGATGAGGCCAGAGGAGTTGTCCAGTCGGTCAGAACGCTTAACACCATAAGTGCACAAAATTCTGATTTGTATGATTAAAACATTTACTAATTTATTATTTGATTGTTCCAGGCTCCTGTGTTTGGTACTGCACAGCCTGTGTCTTCAGAAGGTAAGCATATTTTAATGAATTTATGGTGGTGAGTTTCAGCATTCACATATTTTAATGCTTTTCTATATTTCACAGTTGACAAGTGGCATTTTGTGTGAAGCTGTTTTCCTGTCAAAACATCTTGACGTCAGATGAAATGCTCCATTAGTGCTGGATGTAGGTGGATTTTTTTTTATAAACAGTGTACAATGTATGAAGTGCCATCTACATTTAATGTAATAAAAAAATTTGATACACTGGGTCAGCCAGTACGTATGTCCAGTGTTACAAGTGAAAGGTGTTTTGGGTCACATGTCAAACTTTAATACAAATCTATTGGTTTATAATTCAGAGAAAAAATATTCTTTTGTTTATTCATTAGGATGTATATACACATTACTGAATCATTGGTGCCAACATCTCTGTTGAACCTTGTGGCACTGACACTAAGGCTGTAATCTGACTCCACACGTGAACAATTTGTGTCCAACATCTTTCAACTGTTTGTTTAAATAAAACATTTTGAACGTGTTCTGTCCAGTTTTCTCTCTTAAACAAATGTCTTCAATATTATTTCCATGTCTTCAACCATCTTGCAGAGGATCAATCAGGTGGAGGTTACTGGAAAATGTTTGTACTGCCCCCACAGGACGATAAACTTCAGTATATAGATTACTTGGATAGTGACAGAAAATAACAAGTTAATTTGCTTTAAATAAATATAAGTTTTATTTAAAAAAAAAAAAAACAACACCCACATATCAGCAACATCAGGAATGATACGATAAACAGTTTTCAAATTACCTGCATCCAGTACATTACAATACTTACAGTATTAACACCCATCCTTAATTCTTTTTTAGCCTACCAAACAGAGAACTTGAAAAGCCCTGAAAAGAAAAAAATGGCAAAAAGTTGCACTCATTTATATATATATATATATATATATATATATATATATATATATATAAAATGACTTTAGTGTCTAACTGCAAAATGACCAAGTGTGTATGAGCTTAACCTTTGAGCTGAGTGCATGAAATGCACAAGTTAAGCCAGGGAGAGTCATTCAAGTAACGCTGAAACACACTGAAGCATCTTCAAGTATGGCTATGCTTTTAACCCGCTTCTGGCATCTTGGGCTTTCTCAACAACAACCTGCTACTGTAGCTGGGTTCTGTACAAGGAATTCAACATTTTCATATTGTGTAGGTGTATTTTACAAAAAACAGAAATAAAAAAAAACTTCATCTAATGACTGAGCTACCATATTTCTATTACTGTAAACATTGTTGTGACAGTGTGATATTTACAAACTCCAGACAATTCAGCCATTGTCACTGAACATGGAAAACTCCAGTTTTTATTTTCTGAAGACAACAAATGAGAAGCCATGGGCCAATATAAGAGTCTAACATGAATATCAAAGGATGAGTTATACTCCTGCAATACAAATTCTTGGTATGTACAATGTAACATAATTTATAATTTTTAAAAACATATATTTTTAAATAAAACCTTTTGCTATTTTTTAGTTACAAACTTCTTTACCTTAAAAGAACTGAAGTGCTTTCAGAAAGTTAACATGTGGAGACAATATGGTGAGTTGTTACAATAATTTGACTAATTACATTGGTTCAATTAAATGGAATATAAAGAGAGAGAAGAAATAATTGCTTAGTAGTTATAAATAATTTGTCTATACACAAGCACACAGACATACAGCTACAGTAATCGCTGCCCTTGCCTTGACTCACAAGTTCATATATCATTCCCTTTAGTTAACTCAGTGCATATTTGTTCCAATTAAATTTGAAAGTCTATCCTTAAAGAGAACTTTGCTAGATCGCACCTTTTTAACCCCACAAAAATCACATTTTCCTGCATGAACTGTAAGAAACAAGAATGCTGTTGGGATTCAGGATGCAAAGATGAGTCCCTGAATGTGGGGAAAAAAAAGACGAATACAGGTTTAGAAGATGAACATTAAATTAGTTAAAAATGTCCCTGATTTTACAGTAATATCAAAGTTCAAGTAGTACTTTCTTTGCAAATTGAAAGTAAATATGTGAACTTTTACGCCTTTTGGTGGCTGAAGCTTCAACTGTTATTTTGAAAGCAATTTGCAAAAGCTGTAAGATATGAAAAATAAAGTAAAAATTCTATTGCCCGTGTAGTTTTGAGGTATATGATATGTTTGTACTGTACATTATTTAAAAGCCTTCTCACTGCCTAAAGAGTCTTATTGTACATTTCTAGTAGGCTGAATAGCACCCCATGAAATAATCAGCTGAAACTCAAAAAAAAAAAAAAAAATCACAATGTTGACTACAACATAAAATCTCTAAATCCATCATGGGAATTAATTTACTGTACAAATCTCACCTCTTTATATCTGCTAGATTAAACGAGCAAAATACCCCACAACAAACCAGCTGCCCTCTGAACCTGACACTGAGATTACCCCGTTTTGTGTCCCTCAGTGTATTAAAAGCACATTTACTGAGCACCACAGACATACAACTATGTGTAATAATCACAAGGCAGGGTGTTCTGAGAACCTGCTAGAAGGAACATTAAAAACTGTTGTTGACAACCAAGTCAAATGAAATGAAAAATTATTTTTTTTGTCTCAAAAGGTTTAAAAATGCACCATACAAATGGCTCAATTTTACAGTAAAACAGCATCCATAAGTGATAAAAGCACCAACATAATGACAGTTTAAAAAAATGTTTTGTGTATTTAAAATAGCATTGAGGATTGTAAATACAAAACTTTTATAAATTCATGGATAACCTTTTTTAAGTATTACAAAACATTTTTTCCTACTGATCCAAAAGTGCTTTAAGAAACACTGATTTTTCAAAAACTCTGATGCTCATGATTTGACAGGCATGATACTGTCAGTGTCCCATTCACAGAAGTTAAATGAGTGTCACTTGTAGAGTGTATTGTGGTTTTAGTGTAAAGGCATTTAAACTGAAATAAATGGTAAAAGCATAGACTTTAGCACCATGACCGTTGTTTACTAAGTCAGTGTTTTGTTTTTGCAAAGTCTCCAAAGTTTTGTAAGAAAAATAAAAATCACAAAAAATGAAACTTTGTGTCCAGCTAAAATAGATCCTCATCTATCAAACTGAAAGCACCACAGATTTTTTTGTGTACGCTGCAAAAATTGCTAATTTGAAACAAAAACATCCTTGTGTAGGTTTGGTTGTGAAAGAAGTGGAAAAACCTGCTGTAAAAGTCTATGTCCCATCACAGGTACATGTTTTTCCATGTAAGATAGGGCAGTTGATAGGCCTCTGTCTGTGGTCAGGGTAATCTGTTGTTTTCTACACAAACTGGTTGTAAGGCCCTGTGACCTTGGTGAATGCATATGGGGTTGTCATGGCGTATGTGTTAGTTGTGCATGATGAGGATCCTTCCATTAGTGCCTTAATAAAACGCTTGTATGGAGGTTCCCCAGTGGTCTCTGTTGAGTCAGAATGCTCACGCTTCACCCCCTTTTTGTTGCCCTTGCTGGGTGTCCCCTCACCACCATTCCTTTCTGCCTCTTCCTCTTTCTCTCGGGCCTTGTCTGCCATCTTAGCTTCCCACATCGCCAACCCATGCTTTGCCTCATTCAGATTCTTATGCTGGTAGAACACTAAGGAGATGCGAGTCGGGTGGTTTCGATCTGGATTTTTAAGGGGAGTTGTGGCGTGGAGCTCCCGTTTTGCACATTCAATGAGGACTGAGCCATGACTTGGTGCAACGGCAACACCTCCAATGTCAGGGTCTAAGAAATTGTGCTCATTGTCTGACCACATCTCAGGTTTTTGTGGAGTTGTAGGTGTTTGTGGAGTTCCAGGCTCCTGCTTAATATTAGAGCTCAAAATACCCCCATTAGGCCGACCCAGATCGGATTGTGTTTCAGGATTTAAACACCCAGCATTAAGCTGAGCTGCAAAAATTTGTGGGCCTGGCGCACCCGACTCTGTCTTGATTTGCATATGGAAAGGATCTTGACCCGGAGGTAGGACATGTGGGCTCTGAGGCAGATATGGATTTGAGTATTCTCCAAACTGATGGCCTTTGCCTAAAGCAATGCCTGCAGGGGCAGAGGGTGCTTTTAAGAGGGGGTCAATAAATTGAGTCCTGTTAGGACCATAGGGGCCATAATGAGTCATGGGTTGAGTTGGTCGTATGGTATTGTAACCATTGACTTGTAAACCTGCTTCACTGTATCTTTGTGGATAATTGACATTAAAACGATGTACACCATACTGCTGCTCTGCGTAAAGTGTTGCCCGCTGCTGTCCGTACATGTCCGACTGCTTTTGGCTTGAAGCATAGAGTGGATGGTAGTTGTCAATGGGCAATCCTCCATTACACTGGGGACTTTGGTATGGACGATTTGACCCATTCATATAAGAGTTTGGTACATGAAACGTAGAAAGGTAAGGGCTAGCTGGTGAAGGTGGCTGAGGGTTAAACATGCTGCCTGGCTTGGAAGTGCTTGGAAAAGGCCCATGATGGTTGGAGAACCTTGTGACTGCAGCATTTGTTGCGACAGGGTAAGGAGAAAATACACCCTGGTGCTGTTGTTGCTGTATGTGTTGTGGGTGGGCCCCAAGAGGGTATGATGGATGACCCGACGGTAGGGTTGCTCCCACAGCACCTACAAAACAAAACAGTCATTTACCATTCTTTACCAATTTATTATTCTTATTTATGTTTTGTCATAGGTCCTTACAAACACAGTTTGTAAAACACATCTTTATAAAAGTTACTCTACCTGCCAGTAGAGCGCTCTGAACAGTATTCTCATAAGTGCCTGCTTTTAACTTGGTCTGGAGGGCTTTTTCTGCCTTATCATTAGAGCTTTCCAGCATGGCATTCTTGTTGGCAGTTGCCTTTTTTGCATCTAGTTTCTTCTGCCGGCAAGACTTGGCAGGCTCTGCAAGCATGCGCACCTGGCGGCGGAAGGCACTGAGGACTTGGATGGCCCCTGCCTTTATTTTTTCCTGCTGGCCCTCCTCACTTCCAAATTCATCAGTGTTAGAAGCCTTATAAAGAGGTAAGACATGAAGCTGCTCATCCTCTGGTATCTTTCCAATTTCTCGATTATCTTGTCTTGTTAATGTACAAACCTGGAAAGAGGGGTGAACACGGTTTTAAAGGGATCCATGATTAGTTGTAACATTAGACTTTATTTGATAAACATTTATTTAAACTGTAAAATAAAGACTGTAAAAATACTGTAGGCTGTTAATTTTTGTAAATTTTTTAAAATATATTTAAACACGGACGGAGCCATTTTATCTACACGCAAAGCATTCTGGGTAAATGATGACAAGGAAAGGTCATCGATGCGAGCAAGCTATATCCACCCTGAAGGTTAATGTTGTACAATATCTGGCCTGATAGCCTTCGCGCTAGTGCCATTGCTATATTGCCTTATATGTATTCGCTTGGCGCTAGTGGGACAAACTAACAAGGTAAACTGAGGTCCTCCATCCATATTTTCAGTTACAGGCTGAGTCATTTCTACCTTTTCCTCTCTGTCAACGCTCTCTGGTTTCATTTAAAAGAGCCAATTGTCAGATATTGTCCAGGATTAACCTTCAGGGTGGATATGGCTCACTAGCAGCCTTGCACCGATGACCTATCCACGTCATCATTTACCCAGAATGCTTTGCATGTAAATCAAATGGCTCAGTGTAATATATTTTTAAACTTTTGGTTTAAATATTATAAAAGCTAAACAGCCTACAGTATTTTTACAGTCTTTATTTTACAGTTAAATATATATGTTTATCAAATAAAGTCTATTGTTACAACTAATCCTGGATCCCTTTAAGAAATAGGGTTGATAATAAAACTAAGTCCACATTTTTATACCATTTTTTTTGTTTATTATGCTGCTGTGCAATTTGAATCACTTTGCTTTACTTTTATGAAGAAATGGACAGAATCAGATAAATGCTAATTTACAATGTTTAGCTTACCACAGTGCTGCCACCCTGCATGTTGTGGAGGTCTCTGTGAGCATGGGCACAAAAGTCCATGCAAGCAGTGACCCCAGAGAAGGGGCGACCCTCTGTGAGTCCCAAACGACAATCTGGTGCTCTATGTTCATATTCTATCTGTGACCAGAAAAAAATGTGGGTAAACAAACTTAAACGTTATGGCACAATATCTCAGTGTCTACACTTTCAGAAAAGAAACAGCTAAGTGCATTTGTCCTTTCAACACTTTTGAAATTGTTTACAAGGGAATTTGATCTGAAGATAAATTAGCCTTTGATAAAATAAGTCCATTTTATGATGTGTTTAATATCGAACAAATACTTACATTTCAGAGAGCATAAAATAATGTCCAAAATAGACTCACCTGGTTTCCATAGGCTTCAGGTGCCATAGTTTTATACAAAGGAGCCAGTAAGGTTGCTAAATTTTGAAAATTTCTCTCAATTTTTTCTTCCTGAAAATACAAAAATAAAAACAAAATTAACATAATACATTGCAACCATGATGCACACTTGATATAATTTTTTTAGTTAGCATAATGTACCTCTTTGGCATCATCTACTAACAGCTTAAACCTTCTTGGAATTTTGCTTCGGGCAAACTTGCAGCCGTTGTAGTACATGCTCCAGGAGCAGCCAAAAGAGAAAGATGCTCCACAGGCTTCAGGGTTTAATCCCTGGCATGCACATGTCCTCCTGAAAATCCGCATAAAGTTAAAACATTTGACTCTTGCCAAGTTGTTCAGTAATAAGCAAACTACTAATCATAGATCAAACAAGGAAAAAAAATTGAAGAAACCTCAACAGTTCAACAATGTACTTAATTTTCCCTTTATACATTTATTGCATGTATATTGGTTCATTCATAATTTGCCAGAGAAGCGATGCAGTTATGTGTTGCTGTTTCTTACTCTTCATTAAAAGCACAACGTCTCTGGGTGAGGGCTCCATGTTTTGTTAGAGTTTCACTCAGCTCGAGGTAGAGGTGGTCAGCCAGACTGGGCTGGATGCCTTCCCAAACCAAGATTACAACTATGATGCAGGCAGTGTCACATCTGTGACCTATACGTTCACGCACCAAGACCAATAGTTTTTCTTCTTCACTGGATCGACGTATCACCTGAAATGTATAAATTTAAATGTAAAAGTGTGTGCACAAAGACATAAGACGGATGTTCACAAACAGTTGATTTATCTATAGTTAAAAAAAAGTGCAGTAAATGTTCGTACCCATTTGGCTATGGGACAACCTTGTGTGCTTTTTCCTTCTTTGCCGGTGTAGATGACTTTTTCAATTCTGATGGCATGACCAGTTAGGCCTGACCTTTAACATAGGAAAGGCATTAAAATACACAAAAATCACACATTACTTGTAAAATTCTGTCCTTCAGTAACTTTATTTCAAATTTGTGGCCAACCTTTTCTCCATCTCTTCTCGAATGCCAGCAACCGTAGGTGCTGAGCCCAGGTGAGTGTAATATGGGCCTTCATCCTTCTCAATAATTTGATCTAAATTCAATAAAGCATAATTTGTTAATATTCATGTTTTGACAAATCATTTTTCATTACCTACAATATAAGACTCACCAACACAGTGGCATGATGGAATTTCATACTGTGTTTTCATGGGAGTATCCAAAAGATTCTTTATAGGTGTATCCAATAGCTTGATGGGAGAGTCTAAGAAACTTTTGAGAAGTTGTTCTTTCTTAGGAGTGGAATCAAGCATTTTTTTCTGAGCTACAGAGGATGAGGTCCCTGCTGATGAGTCTATCCCATTTATGTGTGTGTTGGTTGACAGGACTGTAACAGGACCTGAGGACTCCACCTTGACTTTATTCAATGAGTTGAACACATCAGATTTTTTCTCAGACACAGGTGAAAACTGGTACTGCCTCAGACTTTGCTCCATAGATGACAGGATGCTTCCCTGCTTCTTGTTTTCAACACACAGAAACTGTTGATTTTCCTGCTTAATATGAATTCCACCCATGCCTGGCTCTCTCATTTGCAGCAGCTGTTCCTGCTGCCGTGAAGCAGGCGACTCAAATCTGGGCCCGTTTTCTATTTTCACACCTCTAGGGACTTGTTTGGGATCACTAGAGCCTTGAAGGGGGTGAGGGGAACTGTGACGGTCCTGCTTTAGTAATAGGTGTAGACGCAGAGCTTGCCTCTGAGAGTCTCTGTGGGAACCCACTGGTTGAGGTCCCATTTGGAACTGAGTGCAAAAAGCCTTCATCTGCTGTTCTAATTTGAGATACATCTGCGATGTCACCTGCTGGTTTACCAGACCTTGTGGTAAGTGCGGTTGAGACTGTGTAACGGTATGGGGAAAGTCCACTTGGTTGGTCTCGTGGCAGTGGTTGTTAGACTGCTGTGGTTGAAATTGTTTGAGGTTCTTGCTGCTCGAGTCTGTAAAGTACTGCTTTTGAGGTTGTGGTTGTTGTGTCTCTGTTGTGTTGTTGTAAGTGACTGGTGGGTGGCCGATGGGATGGATGTCTTGGTTGTTGGGTTGAGCTGAATTGTTTCTAAGAGGTTGGTCTGTTTGAAGCTGTGAACCTGGCGGAGGCTGACTGTGAGGTCTGTAATTGGGAGACTTAAGTTGTTGCCCTTCAAATTGTGGTGGATGAGACAGTGGACGTCGAAGACAGAGCTGCTGATCTTTTTGCTGCTGCTGTGTTGTTACAAAACCTGCTGACAATATGTCTTGTAATTCATTATTCTCACAAAAGTGCTCTGGTTCCCTCTGGGATTGGTAACAGTTTTCTGCTTGCTGATTTTGAGTGAAGTTTCTTTGCTCTGGACTTTTTTGGAGCAATATTTGCTGTATATGAGGTGTTTTAAGATTCAACTGCTGCCACTCAGGGGCAGTATTGTGCTGCATTGAAGCACCATGTGATGGTAGACAGTCTTGCTGTTTTTGTTGTGAACTGTTAGGCCTTTGGCTGCTATCTGTGAAAACTCCCTGTGTTTGTGTTCCCCTGTATTGCTGCACTGAGTTTGGATCTAATAACTGACTGCAAACTTGGGGACTGTCTGTCTGCCGTTCTGGCTGAGGTTTACCAGAGAAGCCCTTCCACATGTTTTGTTCTTGTGTATGAGATAATGGGCCATTTGTTGGTTGCTGATGGGATCGTAAAGGACTGTTATCTATCCAACCTGTCTGGGTGGGAGTTGAGCATGATATATTAGCCCTCTGTTGAGTGTTCTCCATACCATTTTCCTTCCTAATGTGGTGTGGCTGTTTGAGACCAGGGCCCATGTGACCCACACCATCAGGTCGGTGTTGTTTTCCAACATTTTCTTGAAAGTTCTGAGTCTGACTTCCACATGGTTGCAGAGTTTGACCAGTTCCAGGTTTTTCGCTTTGTTTATTCTCCTGTATCTCGGAGTTGTGAAAGGATCCGTATCCACCTGCCTCTGTTGTATGAAGAGATTTACTGTGCTTCACAAAAGAGCTGGGGTTAAACTCCTGGCGGGCTCCTGTATAGTTCCCTTGAGGATTTGTGTCATTTGGAAAACATGGTCCACCATTGGGATGTTGTGAGCTATTGGCATTATGTAAAGGTGGAACCATGTCTGGCAGTGGCCCCAAATCCAACTCCCGACCAGAGTAAGATTGTGGTTGTTGCAGATGATGGTGTTGTTGCTGCTGGCGGTCTAATTCAAAGTTGTGGGAATATCCATTCACTGAATAATTGACAGAGTTATATCTGTTGTCACCTTCAGCATTTGTAGCTGATCCAGACTGCTGTTGCTGGGAGTCAGTCATGTGGGATGAGTTGGTTTGAAATCCTGAGGTTAAAGCAGTTGGCTGAGCACCTTCACTGGACAACTGATTGGTCAGTGAATCATTCACAGTATCCAACTGTGACCCAGATGTCTGTGGTGCAATTGACACTTGTTCAGGGTAATACTGAGACAGTGTTTTCTCCAACAGATTACCTGGAGTGCTTTCTATGGTTGAGGAAGATGACACAGCACCATTTGAAACTTGTTTATTTTGTGGTAAACAAAAAATATCTCCATTAGGAATATGAAAGTTCCTTTTATCAAAACTGGTCTCTGTCCATTGGGAACTGCTTTCCGATTCAGAAAAGTTATTTACCAAATTATAACTTGTGTCAACATTATCTCTATTTTCAACATCAACTTTCATTTTCTTGGGCTGATGAACCAATAAGGACTGCTCAGTGTGTGCGTGATTCAACTCTCCATTTGTCAAATCTCCATTCATCTTGCACAAGCGCTGTTCTGATGCACGTATGTCACAGTTCTCCCTGTATCTCTTTACAGAGCTGATGCCTTTGTTAGGTTTGTAATGTGCTGAGTGTGTAATCCAATTTGTGTCTTCAGTGATCTGCAGAGAATCTTCTTCTGAAGACTGAGCTCCATTCTGGAGTTTAGGAGAAAAGTTACAAGTCCCAAAATGTCCTAACATCAGACTTTCTTCCGTCTCATGTTTGGCCTGTTCTGTTTCCATCTGGCTTGCTCAGAGTCCATACACAAGGCTGCCCTTTTTACCCCCTAGAAGGCAAGAAAACACAAATATTCAGTTATTTTTTACAGTTTTAAGTAGTTTTTAAATTTGTTTTAAATGCAGTTAGGCATATTACAAAGCCTTAGCTTACTAGCAGCATTAGTGGCAAGTAAATATTGATTTTTTTTTTCTGTGCTGCTCTCAATTAATAATTCATGTCAAAGCTAGAGCATCTGCAAAATTATTGAAAGTCTTTGCAATACTCTGGCAGAAAGAGCAATCATAAATCTGGGTGAATTTAAGTGTTAGAAAATTAGTTAGCTGATGAATGCCAAAAAAAGGAATTTTTAAATATTGAGTAAAATGAGAAGTGGTGGATATAAAAGCTTCATCTTTACAGAAAGAAAGTGACAGAATCATTTGTACATAACATACAAAAGTACAAAAAAAAAACAAATAAAATAATTCATTATATACTATCTGAACTTCAACTCAACTTACTCTTTTTCAAATTGCTTTTTGCATGGTTTTTAGAAGGCAAAATGTTCTATATGTCCCCAAAGTGAAACAATGCTCAGGATTCTTTTATGGGGACATTTTTGTGTATTTTGCTACACAAATCATCCAGCCATTCAATATTGTAACCAGTTTCTACCTGTTCTATCAAGATTTTACACAGTTTATAGACTTAAACACACCACGTACTTTTATGCATTTGTATGAAGAGTCAGAAGTTTGACATTATAAAGCACAAATACAGTACCAGCTGTTTGTACTCATGAGGTTACCCTTTAAAACACACTAAAAACAAATCAAAAATACTATTTAGAACTTCTTAAACTAAATTGGATCCAGCTTTTAATACGCACACAAGCTGCTCTGTTAACATAAACCTACTTCACAGGGTCAGTATAGGTTTGTGTAAAGCACTGCAGCAGATCTCATTTGACCTGATTATCACATCTGGAGCATGTTACAGCTGCTTATGGTTCAAGCAGAGCAGCGGTTTTCTTCAAAAAACAAACTTGTCTTACTCAACGTTTGTTGAATTCTTTCGGAAAAATCTTTGTGTAATAAAAATTTCCACCGTTGCAAAATATAATACTAAAAATGGTCATAAAAAAAAATATTTCTGAACCGGTCACACAGTTTGTTTTTAAAATGTCTTAGTTTAAAAGTACCTTTTTTGTGTGCCTTTACAAAACATTTGTTCAAGGATGCTAGATC